GCAGGAGCAATCACAATTTAGACGTGGATGGGCCAACGGCATGCATACTTCCTTTCAACTATAAACTGCCTAATTTGTAAAGGAGGGAAGCTACACTTCCATCTTTTCTCCCCTCACCCTCCTTTCACCCCTCTTGCCTCCAGATTTGCATATTACAACTGCCCTTCGAAATGTAGAGATTCTGTGGACTTCTTGGATACATTCAATTCTCTCCTATCACTACTTCTTTTCTTCAGGATTCCTCAGATTTTGAATCTTCTGGGTTTCGCTTACAGTTATTTAAGTTCTCTGGTTTGAATTTTGAGGACTTCGAACCTCCCAAAATAAGTTTCACGAACTCCTGCATTTTGGATATTGTTCTTCCCATATATATCGAATGTTTCTCTCCACATATTACGCTGCTTTAGATCAGATTATTACTGAGCATCAAAAAATCACTTCCTTTTCCCCAGAAATGGCGGCGCCAATGGTCAAACTCTCATCAGGTTATGAGATGCCCATGGTGGGTCTTGGAACATGGCAAATCAAGCCGGATAAAGTAAGTAGGGACTTTTAAGGGTCTCCTCTTCTTAAGGCGTATCAGCTTATATAGTGCGTACGGTTTCATAGCTGCGACTAATCTTGGAGTGAAAGGATGTTAAGGTAGGAGAAGCTGTCGAATCAGCCCTCAAAGACGGCTACAAACATATTGATTGCGCCTGGATGTACAAGAATCAGGAGGATATTGGTAAAACATTGAAGAAAATATTTTCCTCTGGGCTCAAGGTATCATATGTTTATCATGGAGCCTGGCGTTATGCTACCATTTTTCTTTTAAGAGAGAGAACATTTTCATCACATCGAAAGTGTGGAACGCATTCCATTCGGAAAATGCTTGCAGGGTTGAACTTAGATTTCTCGTAAATTCAAATAGGTAGCGGATTGGAATTTTTTTAGGAGCACGTCAAAGACATCCTCAAACAACTTCAGTTGGATTATATCGACCTCATGCTTATCCACTGGCCGATGGGGTACGCTGAAGGAGAAGACCCAATTCCAAAGGTATACTGAAGCGTAGTACAGTTGTTCATAATCATAAACGAAAGATTTAGAAAGAAGGAACCGATGAAATCAAATTCTCCGATGAGGATTATCTCACTACTTGGAAAGTTCTGGAAGAGTTTGTCAAAGAGGGCAAGGTAAGTTTA